CTTGACTCGGGGGCTTCTCGCTCCTTCTTTCGAGACCGCACCACACTCACACCGCTTGGCCGACCAGTTGCAGTCTCTCTGGCAGACCCCTCTGGGGGTTCTTTCCTTGCTCACTACTCCACTGTCCTCCCGTGTCCGGCGGCCCCCTCTGGCACCCCGTCTGGTCTTTACCTCCCCTCGTTCTCTACGAACTTGGTGAGTGGTGCTGACCTACAGGATGCGGGGGTTCACCAGTTCACTCTTGCGAGTCAGCGGGTGACCCAATGCACGTACGCTCAGACAGGCCGACACCTGGCCACGTTTACACGTCGGCCGGGGTCGAGCCTGTACACACTGACCATTGCGTCTCCTCCAGTCACTGCGTCTCGTCAGGTAGCTGCGTCGGGTCAGGTGTTTGTTGCAGCGTCAAGGTCTGGTCCTGAGTCTGCCCCCTGCTCGTGTCGCCTCCTGTCTCACGAGACTCTCCTCTGGCACCACCGCCTTGGTCATCCCTCCCTGCTTTTTCTCCGAGGCATGGCCTCCCGTGTCCTTGTCTCTGGTCTTCCTCGGTCCCTCCCTCCCCTTCCTTCTGGGCCTGGCCCTACCTGCGTCCCCTGTGTCGAGGGGCCGCAGCGGGCTGCCCCTCACTCCTCCAAGTTTCCTCCGAGAGAGGCCCCGCTGCAGACGCTTCACATGGACGTGTGGGGCCCGGCCCGCGTCCGTGGACAGGGTCACGAGTGCTACTTCCTGTTGGTGGTTGTCGACTACTCGCGTTCCACAGAAGTCTTCCCCTTGCGCAGCAAGGGTGATGTCACTGAGGTGTTGATCGACTGGATCCGCGCAGCTCGTCTCCAGCTCAGGCAGAGCTTTGGCTCGGACTTTCCTGTTCTGCGTCTGCACTCTGACAGAGGCGGAGAGTTCTCCTCTGGCCTTTTGCGAGCCTACAGTCGTGCACAAGGCATCCGCCAGACCTTCACGCTTCCGGACTCACCACAGCAAAACGGGATTGCTGAGCGCCGCATTGGCATGGTCATGGATGTCGCTCGTACGTCCATGATGCATGCGGCTGCCCCCCCATTTTCTGTGGCCGTTTGCGGTTCGGTACGTGGCGCATCAAATCAACCTTCACCCCAGGGTCTCCATGCCTGAGACCTCCCCAGCTTTGCTGTGGACGGGGAAGGTTGGCGATGCGTCTGTGTTCCGTGTTTGGGGATCTCGGGCGTTTGTCCGCGACTTGTCTGCGGACAAACTGTCCCCTCGCGCTGCTCCTTGCGTCTTCCTTGGCTTCCCCCTTGACACGCCAGGGTGGCAGTTCTACCACCCCACCTCTCGCCGTATTCTATCCTCCCAGGACGTCACGTTTGATTGCTGCCCGTGCCTGTGCTGCCTGTTGCCGCCCGTTGCTGCCCGTGCCTGTGCTGCCCTGCTGCCCGTGCCTGTGCTGCCCGTTGCTGCATGTTGCTGCCCGTGCCTGCGCTGCCCGTTGCCGCCCGTTGCTGCCCATGCCTGTGCTGCCCGTTCCTGCCCGTGCCTGTGCTGCCTGCTGCCGCCCGTTGCTGCCCGTGCCTGTGCTGCCCGTTGCCGCCCGTTGCTGCCCGTGCCTGTGCTGCCCGTTGCCGCCTGTTGCTGCCCGTGCCTGTGCTGCCCGTTGCTGCCCGTGCCTGTGCTGCCTGTTGCCGCCTGTTGCTGCCCATGCCTGTGCTGCCCGTTGCCGCTCGTTGCTGCCCGTGCCTGTGCTGCCCGTTGCCGCCCGTTGCTGCCCGTGCCTGTGCTGCCCGTTGCCGCTCTGCTGCTATCCGCGCCCTCGTGGGCTCTGCTGCTGCCCGCGCCCTCGTGCGCCCTGCTGCTGCCCCCGCCCTTGTGCGCTCTGCTCTGCCCGCGCCCTCGTGCGCTCTGTTCTGCTCTGTCGCCCCTGCCTCCCCCCCCCCCCCCCCCCTTCTTCGTCTCCTTGCTGCGCATGCAGCCGTGGAACGGAGGCTATGGGGGTGGTGGGTATGGGGGTGATGGGTGTGTGTGATCCTCTTCCCCTCCTCCTCCTTTCTCTCCCACTGCTGCAGCTGCCGCTTGGGGGGGGGGGTGGGTGTGAGGGTGTGGGGGAGCTAGGAGAGAGGTGCTAGGGTTGTCGAGGAGTGTGGAAGGGGGATTTGGAGGACTGGGGAAGGTTCCAGGAAGCAGCCGCCTTGGAGCCAGCAGCTTCACCTGCCAGCAGCGTCTCCTCATATAGTCCCTCCTCCTCACTTGCCCTCTCCTTCTGCTGTGCTTGGTGTACCCCTTCAGGGGATGTCTCTGCATTAGCTTCCTGCTGTAAGCAGTTTAGGGGGTGTGTTGAAATATATTTCTGATCTAAACTGCTTGTAGCAGTAGTTAGTGTAGTGTTACATTGTTTGGTGGTGCACCTTGCTTGCTTTGCCTACATCCTTGTACCTTCTCTCTTCATTGAACACCTTTTCCTTCTTTCACTAAACTTCCTCGACATTCATCTTCAACCCTAAACCTAAGCTACTAAGACACTCACTAGCCATGGCTCCTAAGTCACGCTAGTATCTCAACATGTACGGCATAGTTACAGCCCCTGGACGTGTCGGTCCACAAGAGCTTCAAGGCCAGCGTGCGCTAGCAGCTTCAGAGCTGGTTCGAGCAGGACGGCATCGGCAGGCTGACATCAACAGGTAAGAGAACCGGTTCTATAAATGCGCGAGTGCGTTGGTTCCCCCCCTCTACTAATGTAACAGCTCCCCCCTTCTCTTTCGTGTGATGTAGGCAACATCAGGAAGCCGCCACCCGAGGTGGTCCTCAGGTGGATTTTCCGGGCCTGCAAGGCAGTGCCCGCTGACCTCATCCAGAAGGCATTCCTCACGTGCGGCATCAGCAACGCGCTTGACGGGAGCGAGGACAAGCTGGCCATGGCGCACAGGAGGAGCCAGCTGACCCATGAAGTCGACATGGACGATGAGATCGCCGTCGATGGCTTATGGGGCAACAACTGCCGGGAGCACGATTTCGACTAGGAGGACGACCTCCCCGAGGCTAGGCTAGGTAGTGGTGTAAATCCTAGGTAGAGATGTTTTGTTAAGGCTTGACTTTTTTATGGCTAGTGGAAAAACTTGTAAACGTTTGTAAAGGTAATGAAAAACTAGTGATGTATGGCTAATAACCGTGATGGGGCTTTAGTGTCTTGTCCTTAATTAGAACTATCTAATAATGATAAAGTGAAATGGGTGTGTTATAAATGAGGATCGGCCATAAGCGTATCGCTCTAGATAAAAGCGCATGCGCTTAACATAGGCATCCACTTATATCCAGTACCAGAACTGCTCCAACCCCATCAGATTAGTCAAGCGAGTCAGCCAGGGGGGTGTTGAGATATGGACTTAAATTAGAAGGCATTCATGTATGCTGTGGGAGCCAACTCTACCGAGTACGAAGTCGAGGAGTCAGAAGAGTCAAAGCGACATCACCAACCGTCATATCAAGACTACTGCAGACATAAACATTTGAAGTGGAATCGGTGGGAACAGGTTTGAAACGGGTTCGCTCGCCGCACTGTTTATAAACCTCGTTGGAATAAGGGAATGTACCCTTAGAGTACATGGGTAGCAAAAGCTTTTCGTAATCCTTCTATTTCCTACATAAGCCAATGTATGTCTTTGCTACAATTCAGTCATTTTCCATTTCACACTTTCCGTCAGCCCCCGGATAGAAGCGCCCCTGGGGGTATAAAAAAACACTGCTTTTCAGGGGGTGCGCTTATAATTGAGGAAATTTATAAGCACCGGCATTTATAAAATGACAAATATGAATTTCTATTTGTTTTACACCAAACTGTAGATCCCGTTCTGCCGATTGTAATCGAGTCAAAAACATTTAGGGTCGCGAATCTGATTCTCATGCAGCTTGGCAGTGAGTGATTCCCTGCCAACTCATACTGACAGCACATGCTGACTAGACGCGCAAAAAGTGAGATCAGAGTGTGGGAAATCAAAATTGTAGTTCGTTTCCCTGATAATGTGAAATTTGTTTCTGTGTTTCGACAGGTTTTCAAATGAAAAACCAATATGCGCTTATAATAAATCATCTTTTTTATGCAAGGCAGTGCCCGCAGGCGACTTTGGAGGACATGAAATGCAAGTTCTTAGGTAGCTCGAACGAGCTGATGGTCGAAAAGGAACATACACAAGCTGTCCTGCTGTAGAGTTTCATCAAGGCTGGTAGCGTTGAAAGAGAGAAGGCTTTCCAAGGAGGGAAGGTCATTGTTGTTGTTGTTGCTGTCGTTGAAAGGGTCCTCAATAAACGAATCGAAAGGGTCCGTATGGTCGAACGAGGGCAACTCTCCCGTCAACTGGTTGCCCTCTAAGTTGCTGTGATGCCAAAGCAAAGGCGGGAGGGGAAGATTGGGAAGGTAGTGGCGGGGAATGGGAGTGATGGAAAGAGGGAGTGAAGGGAAAGATGGAGTGATGGGAAAGGAGTAGCATGTGCGTAATGAATGGGATGGTTGTTTCTGTCAACGCTGTGTGAGAGGGACTTTTGAGCCGTCGATTCCACTTTCCATGTTGTCAACATTGGGTGCAATCAGCTGACGTGCTTAGGCTTTGATTCGTCTATCATCACTTGTTAGGCATAGACAGAATGGCTAGAAAGGGCGCTAAGCAGAAAGTGATTCCAAATCATTAATCAATGAGTAAGGTGGATCTACAGAAAAGGTGTTGACACAAGAGGGAAGTGGAGAGTGAGTGGTGTCACGGCGGAGCGAGCATGGGAGAAAGCGTGTGGATGGCATTCATTGAAAAAGGCTGACGAGGTTGGCACTCCTGAAGGTGCAGGCCCCAGCAAGGAGAGGCTGGGGTAGCAGAAAACGAGGTGATGCGGGCAGTAGGGATGCTGTTCCACAGAGAAGAAAAGCCACAAAGAGTTATGGGTAGCACTGGTTCTTGTTTGGAGATGAGTGCATGGGGTGTACACACGACCACTCAGAGATGACATGTGTGAAGTGACAAACGAGGAGGGAACATGTCATTACTGACAAGTATTGGAGATTAGTGAGCGTGGTGATTGCAGCAGGCATCGTCCCTGCAAGGCGATTGTTGCCAAGTCCTCTGGAGAGGGGCGGATGATGGGACATGGAGGGAAGGAAGGAAAGAAACAGAGGGGAAGAGGGTAGAGGAGAAGAGGCATCGCATGGCATGGCATCGCATGGCATGGCATGGCATGGCATGGCATGGCATGGCATGGCATCGCATGGCATGGCATCGCATGGCATGGCATCGCATGGCATGGCATGGCATGGCATGGCATGGCATGGCATGGCATGGCATGGCATGGCATGGCATGGCATGGCACAGCATGGCATCGCATGGCATGGCATGGCATCGCATGGCATGGCATGGCATGGCACAGCATGGGATGGGATGGGATGGGATGGATGGGATGGGATGGGATGGGATGGGATGGGATGGGATGGGATGGGATGGGATGGGATGGGATGGGATGGGATGGGATGGGATGGGATGGGATGGGACCGGACGGGATGGATGGGATGGGATGGGATGGGATGGGAGGGTGGGTTGGGATGGGATGGCATGCGATGGCCTGGGATGGCATGGGATGGCATGGGATGGCATGGGATGGCATGGAAGGGACGTGTGGGTGGCAGAAAGTAAGAGATGTGTGGGTGGCGTTTCATTGAGAGGAGAAGAGATGGGTAACGCTGACAGTTATTGGAGATGAGTGCACAGGGTGACAATTGAATGCAGATGGTTGCTTCTGAAAACCCTTTACAAGAGGTGACCTGGCAAAGCAGGTCATTCAAGTCGACTCAGCAGTGAACCCTGACATGTTTAAAACGACGTAATTGTTTACATCAACACTCAGAGATGACTTTTTGAGTGTGGTGACAACTTTTCAGAGGTAACACTGACTGACAGGTATACAAGATTGGTGAGCGTGGTGATTGCAACAGGTATCGTCCCTACAAGGCGGTTGTTGTCAAGACTACTGAAGACGGTTGAATGATGGGTCATGGAGGGACGGAGAGACGAGTAGGGGACGAGGGGAAGACGAGAAGCGGCAGAGGATGAGAAGAGAGGTGGAGAGGGTAAGAAGTGAGAGGAGGAGAGCAGAAAAGAGAGGAGGAGCGGAGGAGAAGAAGAGAATAGGAGAAGAGAAGAGGAGAAGAGAGAAGTTGAAAAGTAGAAGAGGAATGAGGAGTGCAGGGATAGCATACCAGTCCGCTAACCAACTGGAATAAAAGGGCATCTTTCCTTGGTGGGTCAGCGCACCCTTACCCCCCCAGGACGACACCTGTAGCCCTTAGGGAGACCACTTCGGGCCATTCCAGTGTCCACTTCCAATAAGGAGGAAATGAGAAGGCAGAGATGCCTCTGTGGAAGCCTCTGTGAGTGCTGTTGGTGAAAGGTGCGTACTCTCCTATTGATTGCCTTCTTTTCCCACCATCCCCCCAATCCCGATTCTCATCCCACCCACCCTCTCAAATTCCCCATGCTTGGCAGAGAGATGCAGGTGGAAAAAAGGCATGGAGAATAAGAGAGTGGAGAGAGAATGGGCGTACAGGGTGATGAGTGCAGTGAGGTGGGTAATGCAGGCGGGAATGGTGCCACTCAGGCTGTTGTCCTTCAGCTCCCTGCCATGGCATGGGATGGGATGGGATGGGATGGGATGGGATGGGATGGGATGGGATGGGATGGGATGGCATGGGATGGGATGGGATGGGATGGGATGGGATGGGATGGGATGGGATGGGAAGGGATGGGATGGGATGGGATGGGATGGGATGGGATGGGATGGGATGGGATGGGATGGGATGGGATGGGATGGGATGGGATGGGATGGGATGGGATGGGATGGGATGGATGGGATGGGATGGGATGGGATGGGATGGGATGGGATGGGATGGGATGGGATGGGATGGGATGGGATGGGATGGGATGGGATGGGATGGGATGGGATGGGATGGGATGGGATGGGATGGGATGGGATGGGATGGGATGGGATGGGATGGGATGGGATGGGAAGGGATGGGATGGGATGGGATGGGATGGTATGGGATGGGATGGGATGGGATGGGATGGGATGGGATGGGATGGGATGGGATGGGATGGGATGGGATGGGATGGAAGGGAGGGATGGGATGGGATGGGATGGGATGGGATGGGATGGGATGGGATGGGATGGGATGGGATGGGATGGGATGGGATGGGATGGGATGGGATGGGATGGGTGGGATGGGATGGGATGGGATGGGATGGGATGGGATGGGATGGGATGGGATGGGATGGGATGGGATGGGATGGGATGGGATGGGATGGGATGGGATGGGATGGGATGGGATGGGATGGGATGGGATGGGATGGGATGGGATGGGATGGGATGGGATGGGATGGGATGGGATGGGATGGGATGGGATGGGATGGGATGGGATGGGATGGGATGGGATGGGAGGGATGGGATGGGAGGATGGGATGGGATGGGATGGGATGGATGGGATGGATGGGATGGGATGGGATGGGATGGGATGGATGGGAATGGGATGGGATGGGATGGGACTGGGATGGGATGGATGGGATGGATGGGATGGGATGGGATGGGATGGGATGGGATGGGATGGGATGGGATGGGATGGGATGGGATGGGAATGGGATGGGATGGGATGGGAATGGGATGGGATGGGATGGGATGGGATGGGATGGGATGGGATGGATGGGATGGGATGGGATGGGATGGGATGGGATGGGATGGGATGGGATGGGATGGGATGGGATGGGAAGGGATGGGATGGGATGGGAAGGGATGGGATGGGATGGGATGGGATGGGATGGGATGGGATGGGATGGGATGGGATGGGATGGGATGGGATGGGATGGGATGGGATGGGATGGGATGGGATGGGATGGGATGGGAAGGGATGGGATGGGATGGGATGGGATGGGATGGGATGGGATGGGATGGGATGGGATGGGATGGGATGGGATGGGATGGGATGGGATGGGATGGGATGGGATGGGATGGGATGGGATGGGATGGGAAGGGATGGGATGGGATGGGAAGGGATGGGATGGGATGGGATGGGATGGGATGGGATGGGATGGGATGGGATGGGATGGGATGGGATGGGATGGGATGGGATGGGATGGGAAGGGAAGGGATGGGATGGGATGGGAAGGGATGGGATGGGATGGGATGGGAAGGGATGGGATGGGATGGGATGGGATGGGATGGGATGGGATGGGATGGGATGGGATGGGATGGGATGGGATGGGATGGGATGGGATGGGATGGGATGGGATGGGATGGGATGGGATGGGATGGGATGGGATGGGATGGGATGGGATGGGATGGGATGGGATGGGATGGGATGGGATGGGATGGGATGGGATGGGATGGGATGGGAAGGGATGGGATGGGATGGGAAGGGATGGGATGGGATGGGATGGGATGGGATGGGATGGGATGGGATGGGATGGGATGGGATGGGATGGGATGGGATGGGATGGGAAGGGAAGGGATGGGATGGGATGGGAAGGGATGGGATGGGATGGGATGGGAAGGGATGGGATGGGATGGGATGGATGGGATGGGATGGGATGGGATGGGATGGGATGGGATGGGATGGGATGGGATGGGATGGGATGGGATGGGATGGGATGGGATGGGATGGGATGGGATGGGATGGGATGGGATGGGATGGGAAGGGATGGGATGGGATGGGAAGGGATGGGATGGGATGGGATGGGATGGGATGGGATGGGATGGAATGGTATGGGATGGGATGGGATGGGAAGGGAAGGGATGGGATGGGATGGGAAGGGATGGGATGGGATGGGATGGGATGGGATGGGATGGGATGGGATGGGATGGGATGGGATGGGATGGACGGCCAGGGAAATAACTCATAGCTCACCCTCTCACCCCCTCATACTCACGCTCTCTCCCACTCTATTTCCCCTCGGCCTTTCACTCTCCTTCCCGCTCACCCACTGAAGGGCTACCACGCCTGATCACCCCACGGCACCTTGCATGCCTACCCCATCACCACTCACAACTCCCCCAGCTGCTTGAGGTTGCTGATTGCCTCTGGAATGGAGCCTGAGAGAAAGTTGTATTTAAGGTTTCTGTGGCATGATGAGTGTGTTGGGGGGGGGGGGGGGGGGTACTTTTTCTGAATGGAATAGACAGCTTGTCTGTGCTCTTACGATAGATTCCTGGTGGCAATGCAACGCAGAGAGGGGACGCTTAGGGCGAAGGAAAGATGGGCGCACGCACAGGGTGTAAAGCGCGGTGAGGTGGCCAATGCCGGCGGGAATGGTGCGATTCAGCATGCTGTTTTGGAGGTCCCTGCCATGGCATGGGTGTGGGTGGGATGGCATGGGATGGCATGGCACAAGGTACAGTAGGCTCAGGTGCTTACACTAGATGTGGTGGCTGTGGAGCATTCAAGGTACTGGATGGAAACAAGAGATGGATCAACGATCAAGAGACCGCCAGTGTTGGATTCCTCAATCAAACTAGCCTTTGAGTCTCCGACAAAGTTTATTCCACTCGCTCCCTCACTCAATAATCCACTCATTTGCCCCCTGGGTCCCTTGTTTACGCACTCAACTCAACTCAACCAACGAATCAGAGGTTTCAACCAACCTTATTGCATAGTGTCATCGAATTCCAATCCCGTCCCATCCTTCCCAACTCATTTCGATCTACCGAGATGAGTCTGGAGCCCAAGAATTGGTAAACCAGCTCTATCTCAAGCTGAGAGCCTCGAGCCTTGAGCTCCACAGCCTACTTCAATTCAGACTCCAACCCGGTAAACCTACTCTACTCGATCCTATCTAGCTCAAGCTCCTTTCCAGATGGTTCCACCCATCCCCTGTCTCAGCCTCTTACTTTCCCCCACCCGTTTACTCCCTCAGCACGAGCCTAGCGGGCTATCACATTGAATCACTCTACTCCACTCCACTCCACTCCACTCTACAGCACCTTGCATCACCACTCACAAGTTTTGTAGCTGCCCGAGGCTGCTGATTGCCTCTGGAATGGAGCCTGAGAGAAAGCATTCATGAAGACTCCTGGGGCATGGAGAGGTTGGGAAGAGGGCGGAAAGGACAAGGTGGAGAGTAGGGTTTAATATTTCAGGGTAACATCTCACCTATAGCATCTCAAACCTGCTCCCTTTTTGCCACTTGCGCCCCCCACCCCTTGGCCCTTGTAGCAACACTCACACTATTTATCTCAATTCGTATAAGCATCTCTATATATGCATATATATATATATATGTATACATATACTTCATTTTACTATCCCTGACAGCTCAAAGCTGCTTTTTGATAACTCTGAGCACCTCTTTTTCTCTCAAGCTTGCTGCTGTGTGGCTGACGTGCCATTGGAGCTTCTTTCTTACAGTTTTTTTTGCTTCTAAATCAAACAGATCAGACGCCATGCTCCATGGTTGGGGGTAGCGTAGAAAGGGGAAGAGGGGGCATTGTAGGTTAAAGACAGAAAGGATAATCATGACTAAGCCGCAGGGAGCGGTTGGAAGGTGGAAGGCTGCAGCGGAGAGGATGCACCATGCATGGGGGCAGTGCAGGGTTACTTTTCATTGGCATACTTTGCAGATATTAGAGAGAAGGGAAGGTTCATGCAGAGAGAAAATGGGCTCACAGGGAGGTGAGTGCGGTGAGGTTGCCAATGGAGGCGGGAATGGTGCCATCCAGGCTGCCGCAGCCTTCCAAGTCCCGGTCACGTAATGTCATGGCATGGGATGGCACGAAATGGCACAGGATGGGAACGAAGCACCCATGGTATGTGTAAGAGCGCATGCCAGTGCTCCTGGTCTAGGGTTCTTAGAGCACTGAGTAGTACTAGAGTCAAGAGAAGTGACCAGCGGCACTGGAGGGTCCCACAAGCCAGATAATACGTGTATATAAAAGCAAACAAGAAACAAAACGTTGCACAAACACAACCAAGGAAGAAACTACAGAAAGCACAAGCGTGATGTGAAGTGGAAGATGTTTGAGGCAAAGGTAGATATTTGAGGCGAGGAGTTCGGTTGGGTTGGGTTTGATGCGAGCAAACTGAGATTCGAAGATTCTATGCGTTAACATCTTTTGCACTAGTAAACCTTGTTGGGAAACTGAAAATCGTTTGCCCAACCGAGAAGAGAAGATTGTGTGCCCTGCCATCGCTTTTAGAATCGTTTCTAAAAGCATAAGAGACATTGGAAAAGGGCTGGAGAGGAGAAAGTACCAGCGTAGTCATCCTCACGGCTTAAGGGAAGTTAGAAAGGGCAAATACAAGAGCCATTGCATGCAAAGACACAAGAGGCTTTTTGGAAAGGACTAGAGCGAACGCCAAGTACCAGTGTCACGGCTTGCAATGCGGGTATTCCTCTTCCTTACAGAACTTGCAGGTTGGTGAGCGCTCCTATCGACTCGGGGATGGACCCTGACAGCGTTGGCTCCGTGATGCGTCTGCGATCATGTGCGGCACAGTGCGGTGACGTGTGGCACAGAGGGATCCAGTGGGGTTATAGTGTTTTCTTTGGAGCAGCATGGAGGCGAGGAGGCAAAGGGGGGTGAAGCGCAGAGAGGAGAGGCGGAGGGGAGCGGTGGAGGTTGGGTGTGGGAAGGTTGATAAAGCATGGCAGTGCATGTGTCTGCAGTGCTTTGTGCACTTTTGCTGATGACAGCACATGGCCTCTTTCTCTCTCTCATTCTCTCAATTACTCAAAAGCACTCATTGATCTATCACACCTGATCACCCCACATCACCTTGCATGCCTAACCCACCACCACTCACAGCTTCCGCAACTGCTTGAGGCTGCTGATTGCCTCTGGAATGGAGCCTGAAAAGTTGTTGCCCTTGATATCCCTGGTGGATGGAGAGGGTTGGGCGGAAACAGGGGGGAAGCGTAGGGGGAAGAGGAATCATTGGATGGGGAAGGTCGGAAGAGAAGGTACGGGGAAGAGAGGTAAAATGGAAGAGGGGAGATCAAATGCAGTGCAAGAATGGAGAGGAAGCAGTGCAGAGTCGTGTTATGCAAAATGCAATCTCTGGTATCAAAGCATCCTCAAGCGAACCAGTATGGTACTCTGGAGTATACTGAGAATGTTGGAAAGGAAGTTGAAATAAAGAAAACGGTCATAAGGGTACGATGTGCATGGGAAGTGATGTAGGGTGGTGATTGGTGCATGGCATGGCAGATGGTGCATGGCAGATGGTGCATGGCGGATGGTGCATGGCAGATGGTGCATGGCAGATGGTGCATGGCGGATGGTGCATGGCAGCACGCACAGTGAAGTCAAGTCTGTGAGGCTGAAGATCCACGCAGGCAGCTCCCCAGACAGGCGACGCTGAGCATCCAAGCGTCTTACGATGCGTGCATTCGAGAGGCACGGAGCAGAAGGCAAGGAGCAGTCAAGAGGCGAGGAGCAGGAAAGAGCACGGAGCAGGGAGGAGCAAGGAGCAGAGAAGAGCAAGGGGCAGGGACGGGAAGAGCACAGAGCAGGGAAACTGCTGGGAAGGGGAGATGTCAAACCCGAGGATGGGCAAGGTGAACATGAAGAGCGAGGAGAACAACAGAAGCGAGGGAGCATGGCACAAGGAGGCAGCATAGCTTAGAGCATCCGGGTTCTATCACATGCCACGATATGCCATCCCATGCCATCCCATGCCATCACATGCCCCTCACCCGGCCTTACAGAGACTGCAGCTTCTGCAGCTGGGAGAGCTGCTCTGGTAGTGATACGACTGGAATGCTTCCCATCAAACTCCTGCATACACCGTGCATGCACCATGCATGCACCATCAATCACCATCCATGCACCATCCATGCACCATCCATGCACCATCCATGCACCATCCATGCACCATCCATGCACCAACCATGCACCATGCATGCACCATCCATGCACCATCCATGCACCATCCATGCACCATGCATGCACCATCCATGCACCATCCATGCACCATCCATGCACCATCCATGCACCATCCATGCACCATCCATGCACCATGCATGCACCATCCATGCACCATCCATGCACCATGCATGCACCATCCATGCACCATCCATGCACCATGCATGCACCATCCATGCACATTAAGGGTTTCGCAACATCAGTATGCACTGAAGCGAAGAGGGAGGGTTGAACAGAGGCTGTTCATAAGTTGGCGTGCAAGTTAGGGGCCATGAAATGTTTGACACAGCGTCAGCTGGAGTAACCAATGTTAGCGCCATCTTGCTGCATCCCTTACTCTCACTCTCCCACCTCCACCATGCACTCACCCCCTCGCGCTGGAATTCACATACCCACTCATTGAATCCCCGCCTGCCCACATCACTCCCGCTAGCACAATCAGAGGTAAATGAGCTGCTGCATTTTTTTTCTAATTGAAGGTTGTTTTCGAGGATTCTGAACAACAATCACCACCTGCATTCGTCCTGCGAGCGCACTCACAGGTAAGTGAGCTGATGCAGATTGGCCAGCCCCTGCAGAGCGGAGGCTTTGAGATCGCTCGTGTACAGTACAGGGTCGTCGCTGGTGCATGGTTGGGACGACAGCACGCACGGCGGGGAGAACGTAGGAAGGGAGGGGAGAAGAGGGGGAAGCGGGCAAAGAGGGGGAAGAGGGCAAAGAGGGAGGACGGCAGCAGAGCAGATGAAGCGGTGGGAGAGAGGAGAGGATTGTCAGGAGCAAAGTGGAGGGGAGAAAAGGGAGAGTGGAAGGAGCGTGCAGGCAGCAGGTGTGGGGCTGTTGCTGGGATGGAGGCGATTCAATTCACACTAAAAGGGGCAGGCGGTAGGCATGCAGTTGGGCGCGCACATGCAGGCAGCAGGTGTGGGGCTGTTGCTGTCTGTCCCAAAGAGAGCAGGAGGAGCGTGCAGGTAGGTGGACCTAGGTAGGTGGACCTAGGTAGGTGGACCATGAGAAAAGAGATGTGCACGCGCGAAAACGTGGATGGTGGAACTGACATATGTGCAGAAAAATGAGGGAGGTGCGCAAAGAAGGGAAGTGCATGAGAGAAGAGAGAGGTGCATGGGAGAAAAAATGGAACTGACATGTCTATGGGAGAAGACAATTCCTCTCTGGAATCAAGCAGCGAGCGAGGGATTTGATTGCAAAATTTCAAATCACTGAAGGCAACACACAAAGATGGTGGACGGGCAGTACAAACAAGGGCGGATGGGAGGAGATAATAGGGGTAAGGGGAAAGAGCTGAAATAGGCAAGGCAGGACCAGGCGTGTTTAGAAAATCAAATGCAAGTCAGCACAAGCAACAAGAAGCAAGGGCAAGTGAGTGGGGGCAAGAGGGTGAAGAAACGACTGAGGGCCAGTGG